CACAAATTAAAAGGTTTTGGAGCAGGACTACTTCTCTTTGTAAAGTGACTTCTTGGTTCCTGAACCTGGTGTAGAGTTTCTGAGGAGCCCTGGGGACAGGTATACAACATAACCATGAGTTTACCCAGTGCTGAAGAATCAAACAATTTCTAACAGCTGAAATCTATACATCTGTCAGATAAGGAAGTGATTTCCAGCACCCAAACTGGTCCTTACTAGTATACTTCTTTTAAACAACAACATAAAAATTTATCTTTCTATGGGTCTGCAACATGTGCGCTACCTTCTGCTTCCAACCAACTAGTTTCTCCTCAAAGTCCTCCACAACAAGGAAATCCTTGGAGGTTAAAGAAATAAGTGAGTTGCCAGGGTAAAGGTCAGAACAGCACAATTCTAATCTTCTTAGATAGGAAAGTGAAATTCTTTCAATAGCTGCAGACAATAATATTCTAGAGAAAGAGTGATATTTAGTTCTTCAGTGACCCGATACAATGCTTCCTCTTGCATAAGGTCTGCGGAACCTAGCTCTGGTAGGATAAAATAACCACAAAGATGTGGAGATAAATAACAAGTTCATTCTAACTTCTTGCACAAAAAGGAAGAAACTCCTCCAAATCTGGGAGGGAATAAAAGAAGCCACTTTCTGTTCAGTGAGAGGCCATTAAAAACACTGCCTCGCTGTTAATCGGGTATAAAGAAGTGTGTTTTCAGTATCTTATTTTCCACATTGCTTTCCTCATGCCTCCTGCTAACTAAGGCTGTGTTCACTGTCCATGCTAAATGTATCAGTTTCCTATCCTAAGAATTAGACAATTAGAGGTCATGGAGAAATGGGTTTGGCTGGGAAAAAAAAATATAAATAAATAAAAAGGGAAGGCAGAATAGCACCATCTTGAGCTTCCTGCAGTTTGCTCACCCCTCTGCCTCTGGCCTTGCTGACATGGGCCGCACTGTGCAGCCCACCACTGGGCTTCCAGTGGCTACAGGATGCAGGTGTTAGCCAGGGCCATGCAAAGCTGCATGTAAGCAAAGACCTGGCCTACGAATGAAATACTTGAGCCCAAGTATAACCAGTGCAAAAGACTGGAAAATGTTTTCCCTCACCCCATGCCCTCCTTCTGCTGCCTACCTGGTGGAAAATCGTTCGTCTACCCATGGTCGATGGGGAAGTACTCGGGTTTTTATTTGAAACCAAGAACATCCCCTTCCTGTGCCTTCAGCCAACGCCGCGGTGGGACACAACCGCTGCTGGGAAGATGAGCAGAATCCGAAATCCCCTCTCTCCGCGCCCCACCTCCCCGTACCCCGCCAACTCTGGGTGAGGATCGGGGAGTTCCAAGTGTCACCGTGAGCTCTGGCCATCTTCCCCACTGCCGTCCCGCAGGCTGGCTGCCAGGACAGAGGAGATATCGGCGCCTTTGTCTGCACCCCACCTTCCCCGGCGACCCAAATGCCAGCACTCAGAGGTGCAAACTATCTTCATTGGCCTTAATGGGGCCATTAACATGCCGGGGTAATTAGGACCAGGGGTTAGTCAGCACTGCTAACCCTTTCAGCTAACCCTTTCACTGCTGGGCAAGGTAGCGAAAGCCCTCCGCGGGCGGCCACCACCGCGGAGGGTCCTGAATCCCCCGGATCCTGCCTCGCTCGCCGAGGCTGGACAAGGCTCCAGATCTGAGCCCCCGCGCTCCTCTCCAGCGCCGAGGTGCCTCTGTACGCCCGGCATCTGTCCCGGCACCGGCCGGACACCGGCGCTCCCCAGCAGAAAACGGGGCTACCCCAAGGGACCAGCTTCCCCTTGGCCTTCTTGTGCCAAAGAAAGAGGGATAGGGTGAAAAAACATCTTCAGGTTACCTCTATGGAGATTTTTTGCTTTTTCCTTGTATTTTATTTTTGTCTTTTCTTTTTTTTTCTTTTTTTTTTTTTATGTTCCTTCCTTATCCTTCCTTGCTTATCCTTCCCTATCCTAGCTTCCTTATCCTTCCTTCTTTCCTTATCCTTCCCTATCCTTCCTTCCTTATCTTTCTTTGTCCTTCCCTATCCTAGCTTTCTTATTCTTCCTTATCTTTCCTTCCTTCCCTATCCTTATCCTTTCCTATCCTTCCTTCCTTATTTTTCCTTCATTCCCTGTCCTTCATTCCCATGTCCCATTCACCTTCTCACTCTTTCCTTCCTTCCCTATCCTTCCTTATCCTTCGCTATCCTTCCTTACCCTTTCCTATACTTCATTCCCTATACTTGCTTCCTTATCATCCCTCCCTCCCCCCCTCCTTCCTTCCTTCCCTCCTCCCTTCCTTCCCTCCTCCCTCAGCCTTCACTCCCTCTCTCCCTCCTTCCTTCCTTGCCTCCCTCCCTGCCTCCTCCCTCCCTTTCCTCCTTCCTTAGCCTTCCCTATCCTCCCTCCCTCCCTCCTTCCTTCCTTCCCTTGCTCCCTCCCTTCCTTCCTTCCTTCCCTCCTTCCTTTGCCTTCCCTATCCTTCCTTGCCTCCTTCCTTTGCCTTCCCTATCCTCCTTCCTTCCTTCCTTCCTTCCTTCCCTCCTTCCTTCCTTCCCTCCCTCCTTCCTTAACCTTCCCTATCCTCCCTCCCTCCTTCCTTCCTTCCCTTCTTCCTTCCTTCCTTTCCACTCTCCCTCCCTTCCTCCCCTCCCCTTTCCTTCCTTCCACTTCCTTTCCCTTCCCCTCTTCGCTTTTTTCCTTTTTCTTTTTTTCCTTTTTCTTTGCCCTTACCCTTTTCCTTTTTTCTTCCTTTTTCTTTGTTTTTTACTTTTTCTTTTTTATATTTTTTCTTTTTCTTTTATTTTCTTTACTTTTCTTTTTTCCCTTTTTCTTTCCTTTTTCTTATTTATTTTTCTTCTTTCTTTCCTTATTTTTCTTTACTTTTTTATTTTTCCTCTTTTTCCTTCTTTTTCTTTCATTCTCTTTTTTCTTTCCTTCTTTTTATTTTTTGTTTTTATTTTTTCTTTTTCTTTCTTTTCCTTTTCCTTTTTTTATTTTTCTTTTTCTTTTCCTTTTATTCTTTTCTTTTTCTTTTCCTTTTCCTTTTCATTGTTTTTTCTTTTTTTTCTTTTCTTCTTTTCTTTTTCCTTTTCCTCTTTCTTTTTCTTCCTTCCTTTCATTTCTTATTTTCATTTTATTTTCCTTTTATTTTTCTTCCATTTGTTTCTCTTTTTCTCTTTTCATTCTTTATTTTTCTTCTCTCCTCTCCTCTCCTCTCTTCTCCTCTTTTATCCTATCCTCTTCTATTCTCATTCCTTCTTTTTCCTTCTTTCTATCCCTTTCTTTCTTGCTTTTCTTTCCCTTTCTTGCTTTCTATCTCTCTCCCCATCCCCCAAGGTTTGATACCCACTGCTTCTAAAAGCCTACATTTTGAGATGTGACTGTTTTTTCTTGGAAGAAGGCTGATGACCATTCAGGTGTTTTAGGGTTTATGGTTTTGGGGTTGCTCTGTTTTCCTTTCCTTCTTTTTTTTTCTTTATTAAAAAAAAAGTAATGCTGAGAGACAAAGAGGTAAATTATCTGCCTTGGCATTGATGGTATGTCAAAGATCGCAAAGCCCGGGCGCTCTCTTCCTGCTAAGAGAATGATTTATAGAAAATTGCAGGCAGAACACATGCACATACTGGCAGCATTAAAGACAGTCCCTCCCTTTTCCTTAATGTTCTTTTATCAGCTTCTTAGGAGGTGTCCGCTTCGTTTGTCTGCATGAAACTAGTAGTCTTAGTAGGAATCTCCAGTTCTGATGTTTTTTCCCCCTTTTCCTTAAGAAGGATTCTCTAAATCCAGCAGTGCCCCTGCACAGATTTTATTCTTCCTCCTGTTTCTCAAAGCACTTGTTTGGGGCGAGGAGGGGGGGGGAGCGGAAAGAGGGGAGAGAGGAGGGAGAACATCTTTCTCCCGTTTAGTGATTAACTTGAACAGCTCAAAGAAAGAGAAGATTTAATGGGAGAGATCCTGCCTGTATGCTTTGTACTCGCAGCAGTCCTGTGGATGGGAATATCAGAGAGTGCATGGCTTTAACATTTGACTAGTACCTGGGCAACCAATTTTGGTCATTTTATTCCATTGCTGTTATTAACATTTCTGCATTTGGTCTTCAGCTGAGCTGGGAGAGTTCAGACAATGAAGTTCTAACATGCCTAACCTCTCCCACAGCCACTAAATCTGGACTCTTTTAAGAAGAGCATCTCAGCTTCACTGCTCACATAAAACTTCCTCAGATCATGGGACGGATCTCCCCCTTCATCTGAACCACAGCTTTGTGGTTCTAGTCTCTCTTCCACCATGCAAACTGCAGTGCTTGAGGGCTCAGGAAAGCCCAGTGATGTTCCAATACCTGTCATGCCCTTGTGCTCAAACTGATTTTGCCTCACTCCCATGTATTGATTTACTGAGTCTGCACGTAACCCCTAATCCTCCTCTCCCACTTCCCCCCTCCTCCCCCTTCAGTGCGAGACATAACCCTAGAAAGAATCTGACCTGGTGCTGTAGGAAGACTGAAGAGAGGGGGTGGTGTATGGAGCAAAAGAAGTAGCTGAGCACAGTGCTTAATAAAAACGAGACCAAATAAAAATGCAGGCTACAGCTGCTTTGTCTTTGCCTGCTTGCCTTCATCACCAAGATACCTTTCTTTGTGAGCCTTGATCGTTAGTTTCCATGGTTTAAATAATCAGTCACAAAGGAGCAGACAACTAGGTGTTGGAAGGCATAAAAGTTATTTTAAGTAGAAATCTTTATTTTATTTTGCAGCCAAAAACGTTTCACCAACATAGGAAGTGCTTTTGGTGCTCAGTAGTGCAAGCTCTCTTTTCTCTTAAATGCTTGTGAGAAATAAAAAACCTGGAGATGACTGTCTTTATTTCCGGGAGTAGACTTCAAAATACGTGCCAGAAATGGACAATTGGAGTGTCCTTTCTCCACATCAAATGAGAGCTGGAAGGGGGATTAAAAACCAACCACGTGGTAGATCTGGTTTTATACTTTGCAACCTCCAGCTCCATTTATGTTCTTTACCCTGCTCAGGGAAGATTAGCCTCTAGATGGATGTGTCTGAGGGATCACCTCAGGGGCAGATCTGCATGCAGAAACCGGTTTTTGCCATGACTGGAGGAGAGCTATGACCTAACAGAGCACTCTATCCCAGCGGCTGCCCGAGCATCGCAGGAGCTGCTGAGCGATCCTGCACAGGAAGCTTTGTGAAGGCAACAGCTTGGAAGGGGAAGCTCTTCAGATCTTTCCCCCTTCTTCTCCTCCTCCCTGGCCAGTGAGTGATTCGGTGTCCCAAACCTTAACTTTTCGTTACCACCTTCCTATCTTAATCTCCTTCATCTTCAACACCTCCTCCTCTATCACTACCATCTTCTCCTCCATCTGTCTGCCTCCTGGATCTCTCTCTTGTTTGCTTGCTTTTCCCCCTCCTCTTCCACCTCCCTCCCTCTTTCTTCTTGCCTTTTCCTCCTTTCTTTTCTTCTCTTTTCTTTCTCTTTTTCCTCCTCTTCCCCTACACGTTGTTGTTGTTGTTAGAAAGGATTCTTGCACCCCCTGGTGCTCTTGCGTTTTGTGTGGTAGGAAAGGAGATTGTCTTCTTTCTCTCTCTCCCTCTGGTTGCTCATTATTCAGAGAGAGACACAGAGGGTGAGTGAGAGAGAGAGAGAGAGAGACGGATATCTCAGGTCATCTGCAGCTGCAGCAAACCAGTGAAGGAGAGAGAGAGAGGGAGAGGGAGAGAGGGAGAGGGGGGGAAAAGCAGGGAAAGATGGCGATCCTCCATTGCTGAGACCTGGCAAGGAGCACATGAGACTCACAAAACAACTTCCACAACAATAACAAGAAGAAGAGCTAGGCAGAGAGGAAGAGGAGAGGAGGCAGCAGCAAGAGCAGCAGCGCCGGGACGCTCCCGTAAGTTCTTGCAATTAAAACCCATCTCCGGTTTGGCATTGGAGAAATCATCTCTCGTGTGTGTCCATATATATTTATTTGTTTGGTCTTTTCTGTCTTTCTTTCTTCCCACCACCTTCCCCTGAATCCATTCATTCGGTCAACGGAGGAAGGAGGAGGAAAGAAAGGAAAGAAAAAAAAAAAAAAAAGGAAAAAAAAAAAAGGAGAGGGGAGCAAGAGCGGGGTGTTTTGTTTGAGAGAGAAGTCTTGCATGGAGGAGGAGAAGAGGAGGAGGTGCTGGTGGTGGTGGTGGTGGTGGGAGGAGGAGGAGGAAGGCGGTTAATTAATTTTTTGTTGTTGCATTAAGGGGGGGGGCATATGGGGAGATAAGTGAGATATCAGCCGAGCTTTCGGGGTGGGGGGTGCCCGGGAGGATATGTGTGTGTGCGAGGTCTGGATGGTGCTGTGCGTGTGGACTTGGATCAGATACGGGAGAGACACGGAGAAGAGAAAAGCTCCGTGCTGACACGACCCAGGCAATCGGGTGACCTCTTTCTTCCTTTCTTTCGTTCTCTTTCTTTCTTTCCTTCTTTCTTTCTTTCTTCCTCTTTCCCTTTCCTTCTCTTTCTCCTCGTCCCCTCGCTGCCCTCCTTCTCCTGGCCGTTGGTGAGGCTGGTCCTTCACCCCGGTTGGTGGTGCCCCCACCGCGGCTCTCCTGGAGTTGGGATGCGGGGGTCCCCAGCAGCGTCGGGGCTGGGGGGCTGGTGGTGCCTGCAGGAGGTTGCTTGGAGGAGGACAGCGTTCAGCTGGAGAGCAGGAGCCATTACACACGCTTGTGCTCTCCTTTGAGAAAAAGAGAGTGAGAAGAAAGGAGAGGGAAAGAGCCCACTTCTTCTTGCTCAGTTCCCCTATGTCCCTACCTTTAAACCAGGCGAGGGAGAAGGCGCTTTCTCCCCTGCCCCTTTCTCAGCCACCCGGAGTAGCTTGCTCTCTGTCTCTCCCCCTCTTTCCCTTTCTTTATCTCCCTGTCCTCCATTTGCAAGCTGTCTGCTTTGGTTCCAGTCCAGGCTCCACAACACAAAGCTTCTCCTCGCTCTCGCACACATGCACACACAGAGTCTACAGGCTCTTTATGTCTTCTGGAGTAACCTTCTTCTCCCTCTCCCCACCCCCCCCGCCGCTCCTCTTAGCATTGTGGTTTCTATTCTCCACACAGATCCTCCTGGAGGTTCATGTAGTTGTGATGTGATAGGATTTCTCTCTCCCCCCCCCCCTCTTTTGGGGGAGAAAAGGGAAAAGTTTCATTCGTTTTTCTGGTGTTTGGAAGGAGAGAGACCATCAAGTTTTTGAGTGCTTTCCGCTGCTGCTTTTGTATGTGTGTCTGTGGGGGTCTATTTGTCTCATGAAGCTGCTTGCATGTCTAAGAGGAAGTGACTAGTTTGGCAGAGCTGTGATCTGAGTCAGGTAAGCCATGTCATGTTCTCTAGCTCCACCAGAAAATGGAGGAGAGAGAGAGTAGACAAAGCTGAGATGGGAAGTGCTCCTAACATCGTGGATGTCTCTCCATGTTTTGAAGCTTTGCTGGCAGTAGCTGGCTTAATCATGATTTTTTTCCCCTAAGGTTTCTTTCAGTTTTTTCAATGTACAAGATTGTGATGGGTCTTCTCTCTGACTTCATGCTATCAGGAAATGAGGATTGGAGGAAATTGCTCAGATTCTCCTTCACACAGAGAAACACATCCTCAGGCTTTTTTGCTTGTACTTCCATGCGGAGGTCACCTTTATAGATATTTTTCTTTGGTTAAAGACCACAGAATTTAGGAGGTTGATCAGTTGGCCAAAGAAATAGTGTATATATGCGTGTATTTATAGATGTTTAAAAGCATTTGGAGGTAAGTGCTCACAGCTTGGGGCTGCTCAGGTTCTTCCACAGAACATCATGAAATGTCATTTTTTTTCTAGGTGATGATGGTGATGCCTGATTTTGGTGATTTTTAACATCTGATTTTCAAGAGCATTCCTTCTTTTGGATGTATTTTAAATTAAGATGGAATATTTCTCCCTACTCAGAAGGTTGCATTAAAATGATATTGGCAAGCTTTTAGTAGGTTCCTCAGAGCATCATAACACCTAATTTCTCTCCGAAAAAAACCCAAACAATTTTTACAGCTGTCTTTTTGGTGTCTTTAAATTATCTTTTTACCAAGAACTTATGGCAACATTCTTGTTATAATTTTAATGTCATTATGGAAACCTAAGATCTTTAAAGTGAGATAGAAGTTGAACAGGAATCTGTGTGCTTTTTTTCTAACCCACCTTTAAATCTGAATTCATTTTTAGTAGGCTCAAAACAGACTTCACTCTTTTTCCACCAATCTATATTTGCACATTGGTTGCATAGTAGATGCAGTTCCTCAAAAAATTCAAACTATATGCTGAAACACATGAGGGGTATACTGAAGTGCAGTGCTACTGAGCTTGAAGACACAGCTCCATAAAGCTGTATCAATACTGTTCATGCATAAGTTACTCTGAAGAGTTCAAGAAGGAATGTGTTACATGCAGGAGGTGTTAGTGACAAGTTAGGGAACCAGTGAATCTGAGTTGGAACACAACTCCCAGATGTGCAAAAAGAACAGAAAGATTTGAGGATTGCAGTGACTGGGGATGAACATGAGATCCAGCTGTTGCACAGTTAACATCAGTGCCCTTGTTGAATTTTTGCTATGGAAGAAATGGTTTAATATGTAGTCTAATATATTTGGGAAGGTTATAGCATTGTCAGCTGTGCATTTCTTGAGTTCTGCCTGCTGATACGTCACCCAAAGTACTGAGATACTGTGGTTGTCTCCATCTTTCAAAACTGGGCCATGGAACATACTATTTCAGGTATGTTTAATCTGACATTTTGACAAAGAGGCAGGATAACTGCCTTGATTTGTATTTTGGGTGGTGTTTTTGTATGGGTTTGGTGTTTTGTTGTTTTTTTCCCACCAGAGGTGATGTTCTCTGATGCATTTTGTGATCTCTGCGCTGGTCTAAATGAACAGCCACTGAAGAAACAGAACAAGTCTCCACTGACCTTTATTTGTTTGGGTCAGATCCTAAATATCCATCCCCATGTGAGATGACTGTATGCAGTCTTCTTGGGTATCTGCTTGTATTTCACAGTTCAGAACTGTGAATCTCCTCTTACTTCTTGAGAGGTCAACTCAGTGCTTGCACTACAATGTGCCCTGCAGATACATTGTTCTCAAACATAGCATGTGCAATCCAAGAACGAGTTTGAGAAGATTTAAGCTGAGGAGCCTTATGGGAGGGCCTCTTGCCCCTCTCTTGCCCTAGAAAACCAAACATCATTGCAATAGTTTGAATGGTGCTATTTGTATGGGGAGTTTCTTTACTATAAGACAAAAAACAACTTTAGAGAATTATATCCTTTTCAATGATGTTTCTTGCTGTAGTTCTGCCCAGACAGACTGAAGTTTACCTTGTTGTTAAAATACCAGCTTACTTAGTAAGGGGAACTTACTTCATTTTTAAAAACAAAGCCAGTAAAACCCATCCAACCACTCAACCCAAAACCAAACCAATGAACAAAATAAATAGAACCAATCAAACACCACCACAACAGCACCACTCCCTACAAAACAAAACAGATTTTTAAAGGTCTAGAAATAAAATCTTAATTCAGGAGATGCTGGTGACTTGAATGTTTCTTGCAGTCAGGCACAAGTTTCTTCATTTGGACTATGGCTTTCAATTTCTTTCGATTTGTGGGCACCCAGAACTTCCTCAGGGTGCAAGCTCTAACAGAAACGGCATTCATAGCCTGTTCTTCAGTATATAAACTTGGGGGTTTTAATGACTTCTCAACCCCATTAGATGCAGCCTATGGACCACTGCTTTAAATAGGTTTAAGCAATGGTTTGATTTCGTTATGCGTGCAGTTTTGCTAGGTTCATAATGGATTACATTGTTGAGAAATTTAAAATGTCTTGTTTATAGTTTCCTTCCATAATTTTAAAGAATTATTTTGTTACAAGAGGAAACCTAAAAATATGTTGTATATGCTTAGACTTCGAAGAATATGAGTGCACAATTGGATGCTGGAAGTGGAAAGTAGAACAAATGCAAGTAGAAGAAGGGGAAAAAAGAAAAAGATCGTTTCAATTCAGTAAAGTTTGCAACAAATTCTTTAGTGTTGTGAACTTTGAATTGAAGGAGGATTGACTTTTATAAAGACATGAGTGAGTGAAAAAAAGAGTTGATAAGTTGATAATTGTTGGAGAAGAGCTGTGTTCAACATGCATGTCTGGACATCTGGCAGATGTTACTCTGGGCCCCAAGGAATGGACAAGTTTAATTTTAGACTTAAAAAGGAAATGGGAAGAACTGAAGTCTTATAATAGTACAACTTACAGTTTGAGGAAAGTTGCTTCAGAAAAGCCCAAAGATGTCTCTTGAAATTTGGTACTCCCAGAAACATGTCTAAGTGAATTTTTCCTATTGAGTTTTCCAGTTATTCTAACCAACATATGAAGAGTTACAACATAAATTGAGATTGCTCCAGTTTGATGTAACACTTTCTCTGTATGGTGCTGTGGATAATTTCTTAGATTGAGCAGAAGAACACTGCTTTGTTGTAAAAAACTGCATAAGAAGGACTTAAAAGCTGGTGAACAGCTGCATATTATTAATTAACCAACACTGCCCTCCTATGAAGCTAACTTAGGGACAAAACCTGTAGTATCCCCAAACCTCCAGTGAAATAGTGAAAAAAGAGTGATTCGAGAAGAATGTTGATAGACAAAGGAGATCCTGTTTTGACAGATCAGGAAAAGCCTACAAAGGCCAGTATGTCGTTGTGTCTTTTCAGGTATTTTGTTCCCTCACTCATTGTTGTACTTCCAATCCATTATGAAATAACGTAAGTGCTCTCTTCACTAATATTTCTCTATTTTGAAATTAAATAATGTATTTTGTGAACTTGTTCTGGATGAAAAGAGTCTGCTGCTAGT